AATCGTTGTAGCTTGCAAACCTTTCACCCTGTGGACCCGCAAGTTATGCTCACTTAAAGGAACAATAGATCCTAATCAAACACATACTTTAATTAATTATAAACAATTTACCCTATAAAGTATAGTTTATTATCAGAAAGCTAATTTGTTTTATTAAAAAATCTCAAACCAAGAAAGTAAAAAGGAGGTACCTGCGCACGGAAGTGGTGTAACGTTAATGGTAATAGAGTGTAGGGGTGCAGTACCTGATTTTGACCCGTGCCTATAGCAGCCCAAGAAACGGCCTGACATGATTCGCTGCCATCTTAAAGTACACAAGCAGGCATGCCCCATGCGATCCATCATGTCGATCGATATCACCCTGCGGTATGAACGGACAAGGTAGATGTGCCGGAGTTTCAGCTTCCTGGATGCTAACACCGCAATGTATTTATCAACTGGGGATACCAGTGGGAGTTAACCGGGGTAATTTCCCCTGCCACAGGCATCTTTTGATGCCACCTCCCTATGTTTTTCTGTTCCCTTGAATCTGGGACTACTGCAGAACTACTGTAACTTAATTTCGACAAGATGCCTAAATCCTGTAACTGCTGTCATAGAACGGAAAGGTGGTGGCATCTTAATGCCGTCTTCTATGACAGGAAATTAAGGATTGAGAAGGAAGACAACAACCACAGGGCTCCCCTTAAGATCTGCGTGTACGACAAGGACTGGGGTCACCGGTAAAATAAAGTTTTCGGGTGACCATAAATACAACGGAAATACGGAGCCTAGAAAAAAAGCAAATCATCAACAAAAAGGCAGTCGCGCAAGGGCACTGTCGGCAAATTGTGACACTACAGTAAGTTTTCCAACAGTTTTTGTGAATATCAATATTTTTACGCATAGTCGAAGCTTATGCTTACTAGTACACGTTCAACGGTATGCGAGAACAAATCGACCTGCATGTAAATTTTAAAATGTCCTTTCGTACAGCAGGAGGGTTCCGAAGCTATCAAACCGTCTTTTTACCACTTTCTGACCGAAGACAACCATATTTTCGCAAATAAAAAACCGGCAGACGCTATGCCGACTGCAAAAACGTCTTCATCCTTTAGGGAGTGTTGTAGCTACGGACATTGCCACCAAGACCGAGAAATTTGAGAGTACCCTGGACGCGGATAACCGAACACTCTCAGCAGAACAAGAGGATGGTGCCAGTTCTCAGCTCGCGGAAGACTCCATATGCGTCGGTCAAATCTGCAAGTTACAAGATGGCGCGATTTCCGAGAAAGAGGAAATAACTGTGAGAGTCGTCATTCGGTGGCCCACAATTAGTCAACAGCCGCAATGTACGCCCCTCAATATTCAGCCCTCACACGTTTTTCGGTCAAAGTAATGAGTACGACTACGGGCGCGAGAGTGATCGGTAAAGCAACCTGCCATGCATGTGTCATGCCAGTAACTGATAGTTAATAGTTTGATGTTAGTTATTCATCGCATACACTAACTGACATTCAATTGTTTGCTCAATGACACTTAAAAGCCTACTTGATTCTCTGTAGCATCCTTAAACCGAAACAAACTGCTGTACTATACATGAGAAAGTGTAAATATCTGCTTGCACCACTAAAACTAGAGTTCTTTCGTCAATCGAAACAGATGTGACACATTTCTTTGTATTTTATAATTCAGAAGCTTTAAAATTCTTGAGATGAATACGTACCAGATAAACAAAGAGGAAATTTAAAGGTAAACACCTACAGTTCCCTCGAAGTAACTCATTTCTTGCCTGCCATAGTCTTCAAATTAACTCAAGTAACATAGCGTCCCCTTCGATCGCTACCTCATAAGCAGGAATAAGAGTTCTTAATTTTACTATCGCAAAAGAAACATACCTGGTTTGATAATTGACGCGCAGGCTGTGCCGATGACAGCTGCGAGAAGGTTTATTAGTATCACATAAGACACCCCAATAATGCTGATTCGTCCGTTTTTCTTCGGATCTAGAGCAGCAATCACTGAAAGGGATAAAAGAGATATATTACTGCGTTTTGTTTTTCAAAAATGAGGACATTTAGGACATTCCGTTTGAGGTCCGAACAAATTCCCTGTTCTGTAACACGTTTTATCTGAATAGTGATCAAGACTAAGTTAAGAGCAAAGTAAGGATTTTAGGGTTTTACATTCACTCGCTTCGACTCACGTCTTTACGGGCTTTACGTAAATTAAGGGTCTTGCTGGACCAAAATCAACTTTCGCGAGCGCCTCGAAGACACTTGCTTCCATGTGCCCAGTATTTTTACAGCGGGAAAAAGTTGTTCTGGTTCCAAAATTCGAGCCTTTTGGACACTCCGCTCTCAGTTCAGCCATCTTGTTTATTGATCATCAAGTTTTACCAGCATCAGAATTTTAGTCAGGCTCTAAGGACTTCACCGCACGGGTATCTCATTCGGTGGTGCCAGAAACTTTACCTACCTAACGCTCTTCTTTAGACACTCTAGCTTTTTTTTCAATCAACGGTCGTTCAGTACTTAATACTAGTTTTCCTCCGTAGTCGTCTTGTGTAATGTCAGACCATTTCTAATATAAACATTTAAGTTGACCCAAAAGTGAAAAAAACTCGCGGCATTTGTCGGGATTTGAACCCGCATAGTAGAGAAGCCCTTTACGCGAAGCCAACGCTCTCCCTGTCGAGCTACAAATGCACGCTCCACACCGTGAGTTTAATCCTTTTTGGATCGATATTACCCGCCCAACTTTACCGCTCGTATGAAATCCACCAATACAGAACAGCAAGCTGGCTGCCTAAGCAGGATTGGGCAGGTAAAATCGATCCAAGTGTAATCGAACTCACCGAATGAAGCGTGGTATTTGTAGCTCAACT